CTCCAGAGGCGGCACAGAGAGCTGAGTGATCTGGAAAAGCCATTACACACACACACACATGCTCAGACTTCTCTTGTTTTCTCTGTTTGTCAAAAATCAACGGTTTTACTTTGAATGTGAAGTGTTTCCGACCTGAGGTCCATCTCTGTAGAATGCATTCACCCATGGATGCCTTTTTTTGGAGCAATGATCTGTGGCTTCAACGGCTAATATTGGGGTTTCTGGGTGTCCTTGCAGCCACAGTACACGAACCTGGGGCTCTTGAACAGCATGGACCAGCAGATTCAGAACGGCTCCTCGTCCACCAGTCCCTATAACACAGACCACGCGCAGAACAGCGTCACGGCGCCCTCGCCCTACGCGCAGCCCAGCTCCACCTTCGATGCCCTCTCGCCATCACCCGCCATCCCCTCCAACACCGACTACCCAGGCCCGCACAGTTTCGACGTGTCCTTCCAGCAGTCAAGCACCGCCAAGTCGGCCACCTGGACGGTAAGAGCAGCGGGCACGCACATGCCTGACCCCAGTCCAAGGCCGGGCTTCACCACATCCCAGGGATTTCTCTCCCTTCCCAGTTTAGCGATTCCACGTTCAATGGTGGAAAAGTTGTCTTTGAATATTTAATACTGAACCAGAGAGAGAGAAGGTGCCAGTTAGTGGGAAAAGTCCCAATTTAGGAACCAAACGTCTGCATTCTAGCCAGCTCCTGGCAGCTTCAGTCAGTGTGCTCCTGCCTGCTTCACACTGTTGTATGCCAAAGTTGATGGCAAAGTAAAGAGCACTGTGCCAACAAGAAGTATGGTAATCATGGGATATGTGTTTACAGTCTCCAGAAAAGTGTTTACCAGTCTCATTATTGTAAAAGAAGTAAGTGTCACATGAAGGTGTGATTTTAAAAACTGAATAAAATAATAAATATAGTGTTATAAAAATTCAGAAAATAAAATCCTATTTATGAAGGAAGGATGAATATGTTTATACATGTAGGTATCAATAAATTATAATTTATCAGTAAATTGTGTAATTTCTTATAATAAATTACTATTTATTATAATAATTTATCAGTGAATTATAATTTATTGATATGTATATATTTATCTAATTTAGAAATATTCTTTTCGAAAAGGAAGCCCTTAAATATACACATCAGGGCCCTGAATTAGTCCAAAGAAATTGTTTAAAAAAATCTTTCTGCATATAACTTTTCTAAGAAAGCATGGAATTTTCTTTTCATAAATTAGGAAGATGCAAGAATTAGTCCAAAGAAATTGTTTT